AGAAATAATAAATCATTAAAAAAATACTACTAATAATAATAATACAATAATTAAGTAACAATTGTAATAAGAAAACAAAATAATAGAAAAATATGAAAACCCCCCAATAATAATCACACCACGTGACTCCTCTCTGTACGGTCTTTAATCACGTGCTCTCAGCTCCTCTCACATGGTGATCACGTGTTCGGAACTCTCACTGGCGGCAGGTCACGTGGTCGAGAGATTCGCTTCGGCCCGGTTTGTCCCTGCAAGGGATCCGTAGCGGAAGTGAACAGAGGCTCCCAGCTTGACAGAAGTGGTGGTCGGGCTCACACACACACACACCGACAGGTACACCGAGGCACGTCCTCTCTGCACCGCTATCTGGGAAAAGGGGAGGGGGGCCTATCGCTCTGGGCCGCTGGAGGACTACATGTCCCAGCATGCCCTGGGCCGTTCAATAAAGACTCCGCCCACCAGCATGGGCTCCCTCCAGCTGGGTGAACGTGCTGGGAGCTGTAGTGCGGTCTGATTCTGGGACAGTCATATAAAGAGAACCTGTCATTGCTGGTGCATACACACACACAGGGGTTTTATTTTTGAGAAATGATTGGTTGAGTGGAGTGGATCCCTCTCAGCCCTTCCTGACCGACTTTCAGCTGAGAGTCGGCTGTCTGCGTCCTTACCTGGGTGTCCCTACCCACAGTGACCTCCCCCTCTTTACATAGGAGGTGACGGAGGAGGGGTCCGTAAATAGGGGGTGATGGAGGAAGGGTCCGTATGTTGGGGGTGACAGAGGAGGGGTCCGTATATAGGAGGTGACGGGTCAGTATATAGGAGGTGACAGAGGAAGGGTCTGTATTTAGGGGATGACGGAGGAGGGGTCCATATGTAGGGGGTGACAGAGGAGGGATCTGTATGTAGGGGGTGACAGAGGAGGGGTCCTGTATTTAGGGGGTGGCGGAGGAGGGGTCCGTATTTAGGGGATGACGGAGGAGGGGTCCGTATATAGGAGGAGGGGTCCGTATTTTAGGGATGACGGAGGAGGGGTCTGTATGTAGGGGGTGACGGAGGAGGGGTCTGTATGTTGGAGGTGACGGAGGAGGGGTCTGTATATAGGGGGTGACGGAGGAGGGGTCTGTATATAGGAGGTGACGGAGGAGGGGTCTGTATATAGGGGGTGACGGAGGAGGGGTCTGTATATAGGAGGTGACGGAGGAGGGGTCTGTATATAGGGGGTGACGGAGGAGGGGTCTGTATATAGGAGGTGACGGAGGAGGGGTCTGTATATAGGGGGTGACGGAGGAGGGGTCTGTATATAGGAGGTGACGGAGGAGGGGTCTGTATATAGGGGGTGACGGAGGAGGGGTCTGTATATAGGAGGTGACGGAGGAGGGGTCTGTATATAGGGGGTGACGGAGGAGGGGTCTGTATATAGGAGGTGACGGAGGAGGGGTCTGTATATAGGGGGTGACGGAGGAGGGGTCTGTATATAGGAGGTGACGGAGGAGGGGTCTGTATATAGGGGGTGACGGAGGAGGGGTCTGTATATAGGAGGTGACGGAGGAGGGGTCTGTATATAGGGGGTGACGGAGGAGGGGTCTGTATATAGGAGGTGACGGAGGAGGGGTCTGTATATAGGGGGTGACGGAGGAGGGGTCTGTATATAGGAGGTGACGGAGGAGGGGTCTGTATATAGGGGGTGACGGAGGAGGGGTCTGTATATAGGAGGTGACGGAGGAGGGGTCTGTATATAGGGGGTGACGGAGGAGGGGTCTGTATATAAGGGGTCCGTATGTTGGGGGTGACGGAGGAGGGGTCCGTATGTTGGAGGCGACGGAGGAGGGGGGTCTGTATGTAGGGGGTGTGTCCCTTCCCCAGTCATATGACCAAAGTTGAGGCATTGGTCACATGATCTGACCATGGTGTGAGATAACCCCGCCCACCTTTTCCCTTTTTTCTTATACTGCATCTTATTGTGTCCTGGTCTCTCCTCCCCCTGTAGGATGGCGCTGGAACTGCAGGCCGTGGTGATGGCGGTGGGCGGAGGCTCGCGAATGAGCGACCTCACCAGTAGTATCCCGAAGGCCCTCCTCCCGGTGGGGAACAAACCTCTGCTGTGGTATCCGCTGAACATGCTGGAACGCGCCGGATTCGAGGGTGAGCAGTGCAAATGTATGAAGAGGACCTGTCACTAAGCTTGATGTGCATGGTGCCCTGGGAGCTATGGACTATTAGATTTGGTGTGGTGGGGCTTGGCAGGATTTGGAGTCGTGTTCTGAGCACCCCATTGGGTGTCTGCGATATTCACCTCCTGTGTCCCCATTCTTCTCTCTCCGGCAGAGGTGATTTTGGTGACCACGCGGGAGGTTCAGAAGTGTGTTCCCGATGTGAAGATGAAGGTGGATGTTGTGTGTCTGCCGGAGGACAAAGCCCTGGAAATGGGGACGGCCGATTCCCTGCGCTATATCCACTCCAAGATCAAGGTGAGAGACCCCGTGTGCAGCCATGTGTCCGTCCATGGTGCCGGGCCCTCCCTGTCCACTGAACCGGGGACTACTCCCCCCACTGACACCAATGATGGGGCACTATTCCC